AGTCCTGAAACCCTTTTAAAATAATCACTCAGAGGCTTAATATTACTTACAAACTGTTTGGCCTGTTAGCCCAGGTTTATTATTAACTAGCTCGTACAACTAAATTAACCCTCTCTATAAGACTGTATCTTACCACTAGCCTCACGACTTGTCACCTCATATCTTGCTTTTCCTGCAGCTGCTGGCATCTCCCTGACCCTGCACTTCTCCCTTTATCTCTGCCTAGATTTCCTGCCTGGCTCTATTCTCCCTGGCTGTTGGCCAAATCAGCTTCTTTTTTAACTAGTGGTAATAAAACACATTCACAGCATACAGAAAGACATCCTACAGCAACAGACAAACGGAAAAGAAACTGGGTTCTCTAAGAGTAGCAAGCACTTTAGCCTCTGAATTCTCTTTCCAACCCTAAGTTATGTTTTAATATAAACAAAATGAAGTTATATATGGAGGGAAGGAGTCCAAATCCTTGGTTTCTGAGGCTTATGCTGGAATCCCTCAGAGTCTGAGCATCCCCAGCATTAGCGGGACCAAAGGCTGTGCACCTGCAGTCTTAACTACTCAGGAGGCCTAAGCCTGGGACTCAAGAGTGAGTCTGTGTATAACTGTCCCTGGGGTTTTTTTGTTTGTTTGTTTTTTGTTTTTTCAAGACAGGGTTTCTCTGTAGCTTTGGAGCCTGTCCTGAAACTAGCTCTTGTAGACCAGGCTGGCCTCAAACTCACAGAGATCCACCTGCCTCTGCCTCTGCCTCTGCCTCCCCAGTGTTGGGATTAAAGGCGTGTACCACTACCGCCCAGCCCGCATAACTGTCTTAAAGAAAAACAAACTTCGCACTTTGAGTCAGGGTCTTACTGTGTAGCAGATGTAAGCATAGAACTGGCTGTGTAGATGAGGTTGGCCTCCAGCTTGGGGACCTGCCTGCCTCTGCATCTTTCTTCAGAGTGCCAGGACTGTGCAACCATGTGTAGCTAAGTTTTTCCTTTTTCTGTTTAAAGTCAATAAACTATGTTTCCACATTGCAGTAGGATGACAGTGTTATTTGGGTCCTTTCTGTTTTTGTGAGGTAGTTTTGTATGTATGTGCTGTGTGTGTTATAATTTTACAGTTTGATTTTGATCTATTTAGTTGTATATTGTTCTTTTTCTTTCACTCATTCATTCATTTATTCATTCATTTTTTGACAAGGTCTTACTGGCTATCCTCACAGAGATCCACGTGCCTCTGACTCCCACGCACTGGGATTCAAGTTGTGCTATCATACCTAGCCATGTGTGGCGGATAGGTCGATGGGCTCATACACATGCCACAGTGTGCATATGTAGGTCAGAAGACAGCTTATAGGAGTTGGTTCTCTGCTTCCGTCATGTGGGTCGTGGGAGTTGAACTCCGTCCCTCAGACTTGGTGGTGGTAGGCTTTAATATGCTGATCTATTTCACCTGTTCAATGTTCATGGTTCTTAAATAAGTTTTCTTTTGCCTTAATTTTTTTGTGTGTGTGTGGGGGGTGTGCACATATGGAGACCAGAAGTTAGTGTTGAGAATCCTTATTGTTTCTGCCTTTTTTTTTTTTTTCCTTTGGAGAATGTATCTCTCACTGAACTTAGAGGTTGCCTTTTTGGCTAAACTGGATATCCATCAAGCCCCTGGACTCCAGCTACCTCTGCCTCCCCTCCAGGTATAGCTGTGCACTGGTGCATCTAGCTCTTTATGTGGGCACTGGAGTCCTCACGCAGAGCCTCTTGTCCCATTTCCCTTTTAAGCTGGTAAATGGGCATGTGTAGTATACTGACCCAGGTTTTTTTGTTTAATTCCATTAGTAATTTGTGGATATTGGCAACAAAATTCCTGAGGTTTATCCTCTTAGTTAGGGAAAACACAAAACAGGGCAGCCAGGCTGAGTGTTGCACGCCTATAATTCTAGCAAGAGGCAGGAGAATGGGGGTCCCAGGTTATTCTTGCCTGTGGAGTGAGTTTGAGGCCAGCCTGAAGCAATGTGAGACCTGTCTCCAAAACAAACCAAGCAGGCTCTTTCCCAAAATATAGTTGGTCAGCAGATGGACTGAAAAAAGTATTGTTGCTAATTAGAGAAGTTCAAGTTTAAAATTAGAAATCAGAATCCAAATAAAATAAAATTAGAAATCATTTACCCTTGCATTTGAACAAAGTTTATTAAAGTTGCTATTGTACTAACAGGAATGTAGTGAGCTTGACATTCTCTCTCTCTCTCCCTCCCCCCCCCCTCTTTTTTTTTTTTGAGATAGGGTTTCTCTGTGGCTTTGGAGCCTACCATAGAACTAGCTCTTGTAGACCAGGCTGGCCTCGAACTCACAGAGATCCCACCTGTCTCTGCCTCCCAAGTGCTTGGATTAAAGGCCTAAGGCACCACCACCCAGCTGACATTCTCTTTTATGATGCTGTTATGGTATAAATCATTTCTTAATTTCTACAGTGCAACTTCAGGGTATGTAAAGGACTTTTATGATTGTATTTCATAAGCTAATTTCACTTTGAATATTTGATATGACCATATAGACTTCTTTATAAAAAGCTCCAGTACTGTTATTAAACTAGCAGAAAGTTAGACACTGCCAAATGTATTGGTTATATTTTACCATTAATTCATGGCAAGCAACTCAGTAGCCATTCACTGTGATTTTGAATAGTAGGTGACTTTCAAAAAAAGTTTAAGTGTATGAGGTGTTTGCCTGCATTTATATGTGTGTGTCATATTGGTGCCCACAGAAGTCAGAAAAGGGCATCAGATCCCCTTGGAACTGAAGTTATAAACAATTGTGAGCCACCGTGTGAATTCAGGAACTGAACTTGGGTCCTCTGTAAGAGCAACAAGTGCTTTTTTAACATTGACCTATCTCTCCAGACCCAACTTTCTTTTGAGACATAGTCTCGTATAGCTCAGACTGGCTTTGAACATCAGTTTCCTGCCTTTACTTCCTAAGTGCTAGGGTTATAAGGGGTGCCGCAGCTCTTGGCTGTTTATTTTGTTCTTTACTTTTCCATGTGTGTGATGTATACAAGTGTATAAGCTTGTTTGTATGTATGCGCACAGGTGTGAAGTTGATGTCAAATGTCGTCCTTGATCGCTCTCATTTATAAATTTTACTGCTTATGGATTGAGGCAGGGTCTGGAACTTGCTGATTTCTAGTTAGTCTAGCCAGCCATTTTCTCCCTGGGATTATAGGTGTTGTCATTACTTGCCTAGCTTTTACATGAATTCTGGGGATTGGAACTCCTTCTGAGCTTTCAGTGAAGCACTTCTTATCTACTGAATCACCTCCTCAGCCCCTTTTTGATTCTTGGTCTAGGGAGATGGCTCACTAAAACAACCTGGTGCCAAGCCTGATGACTGTACTTCTTTTTCTCTAGAGCCTGCACAGTGGGAGGAGAGAACCCATTCCCACAGTTGTCCTTCTTCACTCTACATGTATGCTGTGGCATGTGCATAGAGACATATAGACATGCAGAATAAATAGCATGTAATAAAATTTAATCCAGAATCTCATTGTATAACTATATAACCAAAATTTGCCTGGAATTAACCATCTAGCACAAGCTGATCTTAAGTTTTTGGATGATCTTCCTACCTCAGCCTCCCAAATGTGTAAATCAATAGGTGTGAGCCACCATGACTGACTGAAGACTAGAGATATATGAAATTGCTCATAAAGCAACAAAAGAATATTTTGTATGCGACATGTGGCAAGTATATAAAAAGAAGCCAGGTATGGTGAGGGTGTACCTGCAGGCTCAGTGCTCAGGGGCTGAGGCAGGAGGAAAGTTGAGTTCTAGGACAGTCTGGACTGTAGAGTAAAGCCCTGGCTCATGGAGCAAAAAGGGGACAAAGGAAATTTGAGCATTTAATGAAGTAGTAATTCATGGGTACTCTCAATTGTTTTATATTTTTATAATTTGGTGTATATTCTTCTGATGTTAATGAATATGTAATTCTTTTATGTAATTGAAGAAAAAAAGCCAGAAACTAAAAGAGAGGAAGTAATTAGAGCTGAACTGATGTTCTCCTAGAGCTCAGCTTTTGTTCTGTCAACTTGTTTTGTGACGAACTGTCTCTTGCCTTGGCTGTCCTGTAATTTACTGTAGACCTTGTTGGCCTCAAGATCCCCCTACCTCTGCCTACTGAGTGATAGTATTAAAGGCATAATACACCATGCCTGGCCTTGTTTTGACTGTGTCCTTTGCTTTACAGAAGCTTTTCAGTTTCAGGAGGTCCCATTTATTAATTGTTTCTCTCAAGTGTCTGTGCTGTTGGGGTTCTATTTAGAAAGTGGTTCCCTGTGCCAATGTGTTCAAGTGTACTTCCCACTTTCTCTTCTATGAAGTTCAGTGTGGCTGGCTTTATGTTGAGGTCTTTGATCCGTTTGGACTTGAGTTTTGTGCATGGTAATAGATATGGGTCTATTTTCATTTTTCTACATGTTGATATCCAATTATGCCAGCACCACTTGTTAAATATGCTTTCTTTTTTCCATTTGATATTTTTTGCTTCTTTGTCAAAAATCAGGTGTTTGAAGATGTGTGGATTGATATCCGGATCTTCTATTCGGTTCCATAGAACAGACTCCTGTCTGTTCGTATGCCAATACCAGGCTGTTTTCAGTGCCTGGCTTTTTTTTTTTTATGCTTATTGAATATATCTGCTAAAGCCTAGGTCATCCTTCTATAGAGTTCGTACAGAATTCTATACTATAGTAAACTCAAGGGCAGTGTCTGCCTTCTTCCTGTCAGGCCTCCAGAACAGATCCATTCCTCTAGTACAGAATGACTGTCCTGAAACCAAACAAAGCCCTGCCTCACTGTGGTTGGTTTTCTCAAAGCACCAAGGCTCTGGACTAAGCTTAGCTTTTTTTAGAGGTTGTGGTAAGGCACATTTTCCTTATTTATTAGTAAATATAACTTTGCTAGAAGATAAATCAGCCATGCAGGTAGAAAAACATAAAAACTTATTACTGTTTCTTTTTGCTTTCAGATGGAAAGAACTCAAATGGATCCAAGCGTTACAGTCGCAAGCGTGAACCTTCCTACCCCAAAAATGAAAATTTTAGCAACCAGTCCCGTCGCTCCAATTCACAGAAAAGCAAAACTTTTAACAAGATGCCTCCTCAGAGAGGTGGTGGCAGCAGCAAACCCTTTAGCTCTTCTTCTAATGGTGGAAGACGAGATGAGGTATGGAACCCAAGAATGGCCTTACAGAGCTTTGTTTCGGTTTGGTTTTTCCTTCCGCAGAAGGAAAGAATCAGAGAGAGAGGGAGAGAGAGGGAGGGAGGGAGGGAGGGAGGGAGGGAGGGAGGGAGGGAGAGAGAGAGAGAGAGAGAGAGAGAGAACGCGCGAGCACGAGCAGGTATCCAAGCTGTCCTTGGAAGCTGAAGGTTAGACAGACCTGGAACCTTGCCTCTTTTCCTCCCCTAGGGGCTATGAAAACCTCCTGGGGCGGGGGGGGGGGTAAGGGGGGGATTCACAGTCACGTTTGAGAAAGAAAGCAGATGTGTATTGTCCCTTTATTATCACTGTTGCGTTTATGTCTCCTTTGGACTACTTAAGAAATGATTCACTGTAGTGATATTTGCTTTACAGAGTAAATGCTGATGTCCTTAGTCCCAGACACCTGTCTTTAGGAGTTCCTTAGATTTGTTGTTGAGAGTAAAGATTCTTGATATGGAGGGTGTTCTAGCTGCTGGATTTAGGAAGCAGCATGAGTACTAATCTAGAAGACACTGCTCAGTGTCCTGTTGTTCGACTGTTTCTGCTGTGTAGCCATTACAGAACAAGACAGATTTAGTAGATGTACTTGTAAAAGGATTACTTACTTATTGGAATTGTGCCAAGAACAACTGAGGAGTTTGAAGTGCAGCATTAGACAAAGTATTCACTCTTTGTCCTCTAGGGGATAATTCTCTAGTCTGGCATGTCAGTCACAAGTATGCTATATACCTGATGAATTTAAACACTGTAGATGGGAGAGAAGGGGAAAGAATAAGAAAAAAATAAGTGCTGGAGGAACTCTTGTTCTGTGAGGTACTTTATTTTTTCTTCCTTTTTTTTTCATAGTGTCTTTTGAGAGGTATCATTGTATGACCTAGTCTGCTGTGGATCACAGGCCTGTGCCATCAGTAAAGCTGCAGAGGTAGATTCTGAGAGAGAGCTGAATGAAGCAAGGGAACACTGCTAGACTTTAAAACTGGGAGCACCGCAGGGTGTGGTAGGGAGCTCCGCAGGGTGTGGTAGGGAGCTCCGCAGGGTGTGGTAGGGAGCTCTACAGCGTGTTCTAGGGAGCATTACAGGGTGTTGTAAGTTGCTCAGACTCAAGCACTGATTTCTGAACAGGAAGAAGCCAAATAAGGGGTACAAAGAACTGAGAGCCAGTGAGAGATGCTTGTCACTTTGCTCAAGTACTGCTGTTGAGTAAGACTAGACTAGAAAATGTGAAGGTTGGTCAGTAGGTCATTAGCCTTGAGTCATTTGGGTGGAATGATGACAAAAATGTGCTTGGCCTAGAGTCGTGTGGAACAGTGGGAGGATGGGCAGAAGAAATGGCAGCGTGGTCAGTAATTTGCTCTCTGTGCTATAAAGGGAAGTAGAGTGGTGAGGTGGTGGTTTAAGTGTGAGAGGAGCTGGAGAAGAATGGCTTAGCAGAAAGAGCGCTCTGTTGTAGCAGAAGACTGTCTTTGTTAGCTCACAATCCCTGTAACTCCAGGGATTACACACATACACGTAATTTTAAAAAATATTATTGAGACCTTGTTTTTTTGTTTTGTTTTGAGATAGGGTCTCATTGTGTAGTCCTGGAACTCTGGGTAGACCAGACTGGCTTGAACTCAAATAGATTCAACTACCTGCTAGAATTCATTTGTTTGTTTTGAGGCAAGGTCTCACTGGATAGCTGTCTGATTGGTCTGGGACTTATATGTAGACTAGGCTTAGACTCTCAGAGATCTGCCTACCTCTATCTCCTGAGTACTTGGGATTATGGGCATGTAAACTACCACAACTGGCTTAGTGAAACCGTCTTAATTTTTTTTTTTTTTTTAAAAAAAAGCATGAGTGCAGGAGAGATTTTCTAGTTAGGGATAGGGAAGTGACAATATATTTCTCCTAACAGGGTGGCTGATGAGAGCAAAAAATCACTCAAGGAAAATGGTTGGGGGCTTCACAGTGCCCTTGACTTAGTCTTGTAGGAAGAAGCAACAGGGTTGGCATAAATGAGAGCCTTGCTGATTGAGCCACAGTAACGAGAGGGCGTGACAGCAGGCTGTGGTGTTCTCAACTCATGGTGCTTTTTTTTCTCAATGTAAGGTGATCTGAGAGAGGGTTTGGGAGCTTGAGGGGTGAAGGGTTTTTTTGGGAGAGTAGGATGAATGGGCTGAAGTGTAATTGCAGTATGGCTGCTAGCAATGTAAGGGGCTACTTTATTGAGACTTCCTTGTGTGTCTGTATTCTTCATGTTTCTGCAGTGGAGCTGCTGGGGGTGAGAGGTAGGGAGGTTTTTTGTTTAAATTCAGCAGATAGAAGGAACCCTAGGAACTAATAAGACAGATAAGGAAAGGGAATTTGGGAGATTGGATCATTGGTTTAGTGACCTGAGGGTAGAGGTAAAAAATTGGAATTAAGCAGGAATTAAACATACCTCTGATTCTGATTTGTCGGGGTGGAGGTGGTGGGGGTGGTGGACTGAGGTCTTTAACGTGAGTTCCAAGCAAGTCAGGACTACATAGTGAGACTTGTCTCAAACATAAACAACCCACAAACAAAATTGTGAGCACAGCGAGTTTCTGGTTCAAGTGACGCTCAGGTATGACAGTGAAGAGATACAGCATGGTCTGAACTGTAGAGTGGTGCTGTTTAGTGGAAAGCAAGCTGCAGGCCTGTGGTCCAGCGTTTGGGAAACAGGAGCATGGATCTAAGGCTCTACAGCAAGACTGCCTCAGATGCAGTGCTCCTGCATGCCCCCTCCCCAAAGCCATGTTTTTGTTTATTATTCTTTGTGTGTGTGAGTGTGTGTGCGTGAGTGCTCTGCCTGCATGTATGTCTGTGCAGTACTTGTGCCAGATACTGGAAAAGGCCAAAAGAAGGTGTCAGATCCTCTGGAACTAGAGTTACAATCTGTTGTAAAATGCTATATGGTGGCTAGAAATTGAACCTCTGCATCAGAAACAAGTACTATTTTTTTAAACGGTCTCATTCTATAGCTTTGGCTGGCCTAGAGATTTGTAGACCAGGAGCTGGCCTTTGAACTGAGATCCACCTATACATGTAGTGGTATTAAAAGCACGTATCACCATACCTGGGGAATTATTTTCTTTAGCAGATCTAGTAATTAAATCCAGGGCCTTGTACATACTAGTCAGTGTTTTACCACTGAACTGTGTCCCCAGCTTCAGCAGCATGATTTTCTAGTTGTCAAGTTAGCAAGGTGGAAAGACAAGCTATACCAAGCTTTTTCTTTTGGGACCACCAATCAGCTCCCAAATCATACTAAAGGCTTTTTCCTCTTTTCACTTCCATACATATCTTAGGCAAGCATTTAAACCAGTGTTCTACTGTTTTCAGCCATGTGGAAGCAGGATTGTGCTGATTTCTGCTATCAGTTGGTAAATCAATTCTTTCAATCTAAAATATTGTCATTCTTTCTAGGTAGCAGAGGCTCAACGGGCAGAGTTTAGCCCTGCCCAGTTCTCTGGCCCTAAGAAGATCAACCTGAACCACTTGTTGAATTTCACCTTTGAACCCCGTGGCCAGGCAGGTCACTTTGAAGGCAGTGGACATGGCAGCTGGGGAAAAAGAAACAAGTGGGGACATAAGCCTTTTAACAAGGAACTTTTTTTACAGGCCAAGTGAGTATTTCCACTCCTAGGGCAAAAATGAAATTAAACCTACTTAGATGGTTGAACTCTTTGAAGGAAACTTCTCTAAACAATTACGGGGAAAAAATAGAAAAGAAATTGATGTTGTCTTTTTTTTTCCTGTCATGTTTTCTGAGTGAATGTTCTCAGTACTTAGAGAACATAGTGCTTGGTGTTACTTCTGGGACTAGGAATGGTGTGTGGTCTGAGCCTTGCTGTGCAGTGGACTGGGAAGAAATCATGGGTCCAGGGAGGGTGGGGACCATAGAAGAACAGTTTTTTGACTTAAGTGTTTGTGTTCTTAGCTTAGTAGAGGAAGAACTAAGGTACAAGCAAAGATCTTCCACGGTGAGCTCTCCTGGACAGGCCAGTGTGGTTTAGCACGTGTTTCCTCAGTTCTAATTGGACAGACCCTCTGCTTTGCAGGACACACTTGACTTTGAGTGCTGTGGTTCTTTCCCTTATGCCGTTCATACAATGTTTCTTAGGCTGTGGATTCTAGCTGGGGCCACCATTGTGAGTGGGAAACATGCCTTGGCTTTTTCTCTCAAGGTTTTAACTGTAGTTATCAGGCAGTTTTGATCAAATGGTTGCACAGAGTTAGCACTCTGGGGGCCGAAGAGGTGGCTCCAAGGTTAAGAGTACTAGCTTCTGTTCTAGAGGACCCAGACTCCTGTGTTGTTGTTTAATTTTTTGACACAGGGTTTTTCTGTATAACCCTGATTGGCCTTAAACTTGCCTCTGCCTCCCAAGTGCTAGGATTAAAGGCATTCGCTGTTATCAAAAGGGGGGGACCCAGGTTCTTTTCCCAGCACCCATATAGCAGCTCACAGCCATCTGTAACTTGTTCCAGGGCATTCTTTTGGCCCTGAGGGCACTACATTCAGCTGGTGCACAGGCACAGGCTAGCAAAACACCTATACACACATTTATGTTAACCTTTATTTTTATTAAATAAACATAAGCAAACAAAAAAAGTATGCACCCTGTTTTTCCAGAGATTTTATTTTAAACTGTGTGTGCACATGAATGATGATGTTCAAAATGGAACAGGCTTTCAGTTCCCCCAGAACTGGAGTTATAGACAGCTTTGAGCCTCCTGACATGAGTGCTAGGAACTGAACTCAGGTTCTCTGCAAGAGCAGTATTTTCTCTTAAAGTGACATCTCTCCAGCATATATATGTGTGTGTGTGTGTGTGTGTGTGTGTGTTTCTTGTGCACATGTGGAGGCCAACTGTTACGTTCTAGGAAGTTCTAGGAAAGCTCATTGCTAGGAACTGATAAAGATGGAGTAGGCAGGAAAGCTGCCCCTAACCCTCCCTTCCGCTTTTGTGAGTCATTAGATAGAAGATTGGCTCTTGGATATAAACTGAAGCATCATTGTGTACTTAAATGCAGACTGCTCTCAAATGATTGAGAATAGCTTTCTACTGCCTGGAAGATGAGCTGTATTCATAGGGTCCAAGGGTTGAGGGAGGAAGTCTCAGTCTGAGCTAATTTTAGTTCAAGGGAGAACAGCAGGGAACTTGGCTGGACTTGGAAGCAGAAGAAATAGTTGATGGATTTGGGCATCTGCCCACTGAGTCTAGACTCCTCATGGAGCCAAGGCTCAGAGCTGTGGCTAATGTCCAGGGTCATGCTGCCACAGCCTGGCAGCCTCAGCTGCCCTTGACCAGCATCATGATGGCCTCTGAGAGGCGATGAGTTTCTGCTGAGGCCCTGGTGATTCTGACAGTCTCCGTACCCTCTGCCTTTCCTGTTCTTTTTAGCTGCCAGTTTGTGGTGTCTGAAGACCAGGACTACACAGCTCATTTTGCTGACCCTGACACCTTAGTCAACTGGGACTTTGTGGAACAAGTGGTGAGTAGAGCAGCTTCACCAAGTTTGCAATCATCAGCGGGGGAAGTAAAAAAAAGCTGTTAGCAAGCAGTGTTAAACTTTGGATATCTTTTTTTTTTTTTTTTGATTTTTTTTTGAGGCAGGGTTTCTCTGTGTTGCCCTAAGCCCTAGCTATCCTAGAACTCACTCTGTAGACCAGGCTGGCCTCAAACTCAGAGATCCGCCTGCCTCTGCCTCCCAAGTGCTGGGATTAAAGGTGTGCACCACCACCGTCTAGCTTGGATACCATTTTTTGACTAGCCTTATGGCACATTATTTTCCTGAGGTCAGTTTCTTGTTCCTCTTGGAGTTTATTTTGTTACCAAGTGGACTTGGGATATGGAAGGCTCTGCTCCAAGGGCACGTAAGCATTCCTTTCTATCAGTCACTCACCGAGGAAGTCGTAACCAGGAATCTGTTAGAGGAGCTCTCGTTACCTTCCTACCCAGGCTGAGCTCAGCTACACAGACTTTTCTTTACTGGCAGCCCCTTGTTGTAAGTAGTATCAGATTATCAGGTGGTTGCATTTTCTGCAAAGCCACGCCTGCATTTTTTTTTTCTAGTGAGGTTATGAACTTGTGTCTCCTTGATGATCCTAATGGTATATGATCTAGTTACTTTAAAATAATAAGTGCTATTACTTTTTATGTATGTTATTCTGACAAATTTGGACTCCTGTTACTTTAAAAATTTATACAATCATCTAAGAATGACATAGAATGTCTTAGAAGAAAAAACATTTTATATACATTGGTTAAAAAACAGACACATGTAAAGTGAAGGTCTTCACTACTCTATTGGAAGTTGATCAGTAAATTAAATGTGAACTTTTATGCCTCTGCTAAATATATATTTAAAAATTGTAGCCAGGGGTAGAGAGGTGGCTTAGTGATTGATAGCAGTGGCTGTCCTCCAAAGGACCAGGGTTCAATTCCCAACACCCATATGGCAGCTTACAACTGTCTGTAACTCCAGTTCCAGGGGATCTGACTTCTTTACACAGACATATATGCAGGCAAAACACTAGTCACTGCTCATAAATAAAAATAAATTATTGTAGCCGGGCAGTGGTGTTGCACACCTTTAATTCCAGCACTTGGAAGTAGAGACAGGAAACCCTGTCTTGAAAAACTAAAAAAGTAAATGGAATGATGTAATTTATGTCATTTTCCCTGTAATATAGACCCTCCAAGTGTCTGGTTAACTGTCCTATTTGATTAGCCCATGATTGTGGCTTTCTTAATTTGTTTAAAGTGTGTTGTGCATCCTTACACTTGTACTATTAAACAGGTTTTATTTATTCTTTTTTTCTTTTTTGAGACAGCGTTTCTCTGTAGCTTTGGAGCCTGTCCTGGAACTAGCTCTTGTAGACCAGGCTGGCCTCGAACTCACAGAGATTCATCTGCCTCTGCCTCCCCAGTGCCGGGACTATAGGCGTGTGCCACCACTGCCTGGAGCCTATGTATTTGTAAGTACACCGTGTACAGCCTTGGTACTTGTATAGGCCAGAAAGGGGCATTAGATCTCCTGGAACTGGAGTTACAGAGGTATAGAAGAAATTGTTTAATTGAGCACTTGCTTACAGTTTCAGAGGGTACATCCATGACTATCCTGGAGGGGAATGTGGCAGCGGGCATGGTGCTAGAGCATTAGCTGAGAATTTACATGTTGAAACGACAACCAGCAAGCTGAGACAGGGCTAACTGGGAATGGCATGGAGGCCATTCTCATTCAGACCACACAAGCAGCAAGTGCTCTGATTGCAGAGCTGGCTCTCCAGCTGACTTTTCTGTTAAACAGTCTTGTAAAGAAGTGGTGAGATATAAGAGAACGAGAGGAGAGGCTTCTGACTTTCTCAGCCTCTCCATAGTCAGTTCTGAAAGCAGTGATGTTACGCTGTCATTGTGTTTCAGCGCATCTGTAGCCATGAAGTGCCATCTTGCCCAATATGCCTCTATCCACCTACTGCAGCCAAGATAACCCGCTGTGGACACATTTTCTGCTGGGCATGCATCCTGCACTATCTTTCACTCAGTGAGAAAGCCTGGAGTAAATGTCCCATCTGCTACAGTTCTGTGCATAAGAAGGATCTCAAGAGGTAAGACTGAGAGTCATTAGACCCTAGCCTGCTGCCTTCTTACTCTGCTTCATCTTACTCTGCTAAACGTCTTTGTCTCAGTGTTGTTGCCACAGAGTCACGCCAGTATGCTGTGGGTGATACCATTACAATGCAGCTGATGAAGAGAGAGAAAGGAGTGTTGGTGGCCTTGCCTAAATCCAAGTGGATGAATGTAGACCAGCCTATTCATCTAGGAGGTGAGCATGAGTCATTTAGAGAGTGTACACCTTTTATCCCAGCACTCAGGTGGCAGAGGCAGGAGGATCTCTAAGTTCAAGGCCATTCTGGCCTACAGAGTGAGTTTTAGGACAGACAGGGCTAGACAGAGAAATCCTGTTTCAAAAACAACAGCATCAATAAAAATCCATCCTTTGGCTAAACCAATTTTAGCCATATAATAAGAACCTGTCCCTAAACGGGATGTAGCACAAGGGCAGTGTGGTTGCCTAGCATGCACAAGTCTGTAGGTTCAACTCCCGGCACTGACAGAGCAGAAATACAAGGGAAGAGCTAGCCAGAGTGATGCACACTTGTAATCCTAGCACTTAGGAGGCTGAGACTGAAGGACCAAAACTTGTTCAAGATCACCCTTGGCTACATAGCAAGTTGGAGCCACACTGAGCTTCATGGGACACTGTCTCAAAAAAAAACAAACAAACAAACAAAAAAAACCCCAAAGTATTGGGGAAGTAAGGAAATAAGTCATCCATGAGTCTTTTTCCTAAATATACCCCCAAAATGTTAGGCTTCTTCAGTTCACTCATTCTTTTGAGATTGGGATTAACTATGCTAGTTTGACAACTGTTGTGTTGTATTGTGTGGCTCTAGGATTTTGCTTTTTCAAGACAGGATCTCATTATGTAGCTCCAGCTGTCCTGGAAGTAACTGTGTAAAACAGGCTGTCCTCAAACACAGAGATTGTGTTTTATTTTTAAAATAATTTAAATGCTTTTAACTGCTGAGCTGTCTCCAGCCCTTATACAGTAGGTGGACGATACAATGCTTGTTCATATCACTAGTGCTTCATTCTTAGAAAACATCTTTCTAAACATTTCCTTATGGTTAGACTTAATGTTCTAATTAGTAGATATTAGACTGATTTTTTTTAAATTATTTATTCTTATATATATATTGGTGTTTTACCTGCATTTATGTCTGTGTGAGGGTGTCAGATCTTGGAGTTACAGACAGTTGTGAGCTGCCATGTGGGTACTGGGAATTGAACCCGGGTCTTCTGGAAGAGCAGCCAGTGCTCTTAACCGCTGAGCCATCTCCCCAGCCCTTTTTTCTGGTTTCTTAGACTTCTTGAATTAACTTAGTTCAGGATTATTGTTAATGTTTTCAGGAAGTTATACTTAGTCTCATTTTTTTTTTCTAGGTCAGAAAAAGTATGTGTGAGACAGTTTCTATTCAGTCACAGCACCTCTCTGAGAGCTGTGTTTTTGGCCATTGCCTTTCTTGCAGATGAACAGCACAGCCAGTACTCCAAGTTGCTGCTGGCCTCTAAGGAGCAGGTGCTGCACCGAGTAGTTCTGGAAGAGAAAGTAGCGCTGGAGCAGCAGCTTGCAGAGGAGAAGCACACTCCTGAGTCCTGCTTTATCGAGGCTGCTATCCAGGAGGTTAAGGTAAGTACATTGGGAATGGAAAACCAAGTTCCCGCAGATCCAGGAGACTGAAAACGTTATTTAAGTGGTAAGAGGAAAGAAGGATTGACTTTGAGAGCTTTCAGACTCTTTTAAAAGTAACTGTTCAGAATGATTTTGTGACTCACTGTCTTTTTGAGCTGTATTCTCAGTTAATAAGCAAGTTAGTTTTTTCCTTGTCTAGGAAAATACTTAGAGCTATGAAGGTGTTTTGGGAGACACTGTGGAGAGTGTATTATGGTTTGCCTGCCAGGTCTTGGCAACACTTGTTAAGATTTGGAGTAAGTTGAATTAGCCAAAGAAAGAATTCAGTAGCTCCTGTATCCTCTAAAACAGGGATTCTTAAACTTGAGCCATGGGAATCACTCACTTACTTGACCTTCAAAATGAATATGTTTCTGGTCTTTTCTCTGGTGTTCTTAGATTCGGGAAGAGGCTCTGTCTGGAGTAGCTGGAGGCAGAGGGGAGGTCACTGGTGTTGTGGCTGCTCTGGAACAACTGGTGCTGATGGCTCCCCTGGCAAAGGAGTCTGTTTTCCAACCCAGGAAGGTTAGTGTGCCTGTTAGAACTGAGTGGCTGTTCTTAAGACTGCTGTGAGCTGTGGGGCTAGTGTGAGGAAGAGATGGTGACTGTTGGCTGTGTCCTTGTGACCAGGTCTGTCAGCTTTTTCCAGGGATGGGGATGTCCATGAGCGCTCAGATGAGCATCCAGGGATCCTAGGCCTATCTTCAACCACATCATTTCATGGAACAGGCATAGTACTTTCTGTTGACCTACGGTTTGTTCCAGCAGGGTGTGCTAGAATATCTGTCTGCTTTCGATGAAGAAACTGCAGAAGTTTGTTCTCTGGATTCCCCTCGTCCTCTTGCTCTCCCTTTGGTAGAAGAAGAGGAAGCAGTGTCTGAGCCAGAACCTGAGGGGTTGCCAGAAGCCTGTGAGGAGTCAGAGGTAGCAGATGACAATCTTGGGGAGGGGACCATTTGTACTGAGTCAAGCCAGGAGGAACCCATCACTACACCAGGCTTCACCCAGCTGAGCAGCTCTCCTTGTTACTACTTCTACCAAGGTGAGGACCCCAGGAGGAGGGCTGGGTTTCCTTAAGAGGTATTTGAAAGGGATGACCTGGCACTCTGAACAGGGGGAGGCGTCTTTACCAGGTCTTGGGGGTTGACTGACTGCTTTCCAGCAGCAAGTAGGCAGGCCTAGCTGGGAGAGGTCCCTGCTGAAGGCTGGCCTGGGCTTGTGTGATAGAGCTCTTGTCTTTAGCGGAGGATGGACAACACATGTTCCTGCACCCTGTCAATGTGCGCTGCCTTGTGCGGGAGTATGGCAGCCTGGAGCAAAGCCCAGAGAAGATCTCCGCGACGGTGGTAGAGATTGCTGGGTATTCCATGTCTGAGGTAAGGCTTTCTGTAGAGGGGAATAGCAGGATGTGACATTAGCCTAATCTCTTTGGGGTAGGCCTAACTAGAGTAAGACTACAGACCTTTGGGGCCCTTAATAAGTTTGGTGTGGTTTATTTGTTTATTTATTTTTGGGGCAGGGTCTCTCTTCTATATCTCTGGCTGTCCTGAAACTTGCTATTTAGAACAGACTGGCCTTATGCTCAAATTCACCTGCCTCTGTCTACCAAGTGCTGGGTTTAAAGGTGTGTGCCACCACACTTGACTGTTTCTAGTTTTTTGAGAGGGTGTCTCATGAAGCCTAGGCTCTATCTAAGATATCTGAACTTCTGTCCCTCCTACCTCTATCGCAGAAGTGCTATGGTTTGTTTTAATTGTTTTTTGTTTGTTTGTTTAAGCTTATTGTAGTCCTGGGTAACAACTCAGTGTGTGTGTGTGTGCTGGCGCATTCTGTCACTGAGCTACAGCTCTGTCCTGCGACCTGATTTACATCTCTTTGTTAGTGATGGTGCAGCGAATTGTGTTAAATGTTAGATGTTTTTTTAAGATTGTGTCAGATGTACTGCCCTGCTTCTCAGGATCATTTTCTGCGATTGGAGTATTGGTATCTTCTTTTTCATTCCATATGCATTTGTTCTTGTCCACCCACCCCCCTTTAAATTGATTTTTTGTTTTTGTTTTTCAAGACAGGGTTTCTTTGTAGCTTTGGAGCATGTCCTGGAACTAGCCCTTGTAGACTACGTTGGTCTCAAACTCAGAGATCCACCTGCCTCTGCCTCCTGAGTGCTTGGATTAAAGGCGTGAGCCACCACCGCCCAGCTTAAATTGATTTTTATTTAATTTTTGAGGCAAGATCTTGTTATGCAGCTCTCTGGCTATTTTAGACCTTGCTGTGTAGACCAGGCTGGCCAAGTGTGCACCACCACACCCTCGCCTTTTCTCTCCTTTTACAGTTGAGAGAATTGTTCAAAACCCCAAAGTCCTTCAATGTTTTATGCTTGGTCACACAGACAGGAGTGTGTTTTTAGTTTTGAAAGGTACCTTTGAATTACGATTTGGTTTACATATGTGAATTTTTTGTCATTCAGTAAATATTCCTGTGTTGATTATAGAATTGTAGACATAAAATAAAAGATCCTTGGGTGACAGGCAGTGATGGCCCATGCCTATAATTCCAGCGCTTGGGAGGCAGAGGCAGGTGGATCTCTGTGAGTTCAAGGCCAGCCTGGTCTACAAGTGCTAGTTCCAGGACAGGCTCCAAAGCTACAGAGAAACCCTGTCTCAAAAAACAAGCAAACAAACAAACAAACAAACTTGGGTGCCATCAACTTTGCATGAAATAAATGCAGAAAAAGAATAGAAACTTAAGTGAACAGGCCTTGGTTTTGTGTTCCACTCAGTAGGTCTTGCTTTACCCTTCCTCCTTTCCATTGTCATTGACTCTATCAGTGGTTTTCAGTTCCAGGCTGTTTTTTGTTTCATTATCATTGAGTACCGTACACTTTGCTTTTTCCTATTTGCTCTCTGATAGTGGACCCTAGACAGAAACAATGGCCAGCTTTAGATTAGTTTGTTACCAGGCTCAATTTACTCACTTATAGCTCAATCCAAGGAACCCTGAGTCTGATGAATTGATGAATGTTCTTTTTTTTCTTTGCGCGCGTGGGAGGCATGAGTGCTCTGCAGGCCAGAAGAGGGCACCAAATTCCATTACAGATGGTTATGAGCCACCGTGTGGGTGCTGGGAATTGAACTCAGGACCTCTGGAAGAGCAACCAGTGCTCTTAACCACTCAGTCTTCTCTCTATCATCCCCGCCCCCTGTAGGTTGCCCATAGTATCTGCCTTTCAAAAGAGCAGTAATAGTAGCATTCTTCTTCTGAGTCACAGCACTGAGTGTGTATACTGTTGGGATGCTGGGTTGGGATCCTTTGCTCTTAAGAGCTGTTGAGCATTGGTTCTGTTTCCAATGTAGGATGTTCGACAGCGCCATAGGTATCTCTCTCACTTGCCACTCACCTGTGAGTTCAGCATCTGTGAACTGGCTCTGCAGCCTCCTGTGGTCTCTAAGGAAACTCTCGAGATGTTCTCAGGTGAGAAAGAACTGTTTTGCTTCTCTTTGTACTGGGAACCTAGCATGGGAGGAGGGGCTTAAGCTATATCCTGAAACAAGATGCATTCATCTAGGCCAGATGACCCAGTCATCTAGGAAGAGTTAATGATGGGTGATCTGGCTTTCTTACAACTTGACCAACCCACAGATGACATTGAGAAAAGAAAGCGTCAGCGCCAAAAGAAGGCTCGAGAGGAGCGTCGCCGAGAGCGCAGAATTGAAATGGAGGAGAACAAGAGACAGGGCAGGTGTAAGTTCAAGAGCTCTTGTGTTTGCTTAGCTTTGCTGTGTGTGAGTCTGTGCGGCTCCTTGCAGAAGCCAGGCTGCTTGCTTATGCTCTGCCATTTGTTTTCTTAGACCATTCCATGGTAGGGAATTGGAGTGCTGTTCAGAGTGCTGGGGCTTAGACATGACAGTTGAAAGGCAATGCTCACTGTGAGACCTGTGGAAAATGTGCAGGATTTGGGCGTGAGAGCTCTCTTGATCAGGATGCAGTCTTCTGATTTGACTCTAGAATAAGTCACTAAATCCAGGGGATTAATGTGACTTGAGGGCCTAGTTATCCACTAGAAAACAAGCTCTAGAGCTGGGTCTGGTGACTTAGACTGAAAACTTAGATGCAGAGATAAAGTAAAAAGAAAACGCTGGGTGTGGTGGCAAATGCCTTTAATCCCAGTACTCAGGAGGTAGAGGCAGGTGGGTTTCTATGAGTTCGAGGCTAGCCTGGTCTACAGAGTCAGTTCCAGGACAGGCAGGACTGTTACACAGAGAAGACCTGCCTCAGAGAAAAGGGGGGGTGGGCAGACAAGCTGAGGACTGGGGAAAGGATTAAGCTCTCTCAGTTCCATCCAGTATGGCAAATAAAAGTTAGCTTGGTAGAGTGGAGTGAGTGTATGCTTGGGCTTTTAGTACCTTGTAGCAAGTACACACCCTAAACCTTAAGAAAACAAATGTCTCCAAAAAAAAGTTTTATTGTCTTTTTTCTCTTCTTTCTTATTTCATTTAAAGTTTTTTGTTGTGTTTTGTTTTTGAAATAACAGCTCATTGTTTAGCCTGAACCTACTTACTGTGTAGACCTGACTGACCTTGAGCTGTCTCTTGAGGGCTGAAGCTGTATAGGCTTGCACCATAGCTAGTCTTCTCTTTGAGGAAGTGGGGGTAAGGTTCTTTTTTATATAGCCTAGGATGGCCTTAAATTTGCTCTTACTGTTTCAGCCTCCTTTATGCTGGATTACACATAGCATGGATTATTGTATGAAAGCAAAGATATAGATTCATAATTGTTTGCATCCTTTAGGCCCTCCAGATTGCCCCTCTCTAGAAAAATTCCAAACAGTTGTGTAATGGACTTATTTAACCCTTGCTTTGCAGATCCTGAAGTCCACATTCCCCTAGAGAACCTTCAGCAGTTTCCTGCCTTCAATTCCTATACCTGCTCCTCTGATTCTGCTTTGGGTCCCACCAGCACAGAGGGCCATGGGGCCCTCTCCCTTTCTCCTCTTAGCAGAAGTCCAGGTTCTCATGCAGGTAAAGAGTTGATATTTAGTGAATTCTGCTACTGGCTAGAGCTTTAATTTGATTTAATTTTTAAGTGCGTGCGTGTGTGTGTGTGTGTTTTCCATGTGCCATGCCTGGTGCCCCTAAAGGTCAGAAGAGGATGTCCGATCTCCTGGAACTGGGGTTACAGATGGTTATCTGTCACCATGTGGTTACCGGAAGCCAAACCCAGGTCTTCTTAACCCCTGAGCCAACTCTCCATGCCCTAGACCTTAAACTAGTGTCTGAATTTACAACTTTGACCAACTTGGCATAATGTGACATTTAAGTGAAAAACTTGATAGTTAGTCCTGAGTTACACTGATTCTTATTTTATTGCCCTTGCCTGTTGGTTATACTAGCTTAGACCTCAAAACCTCAGAGCAGTTTGTTTCCTCGGACCCGTCTGTTCTGGGTTTTGTTTTTTTGTTTGTTTGTTTTATTTTTCTCTTCTCCTAGTTTTCATGTTTGAGCATGTTTGTTACTGTCTCTGTTGTAGTATTGATGGTAATTAGGGGAAAAATAAGATTACTAAATGCACAGTAGGAAATGGTTCATTTAAAAACTTGTTTACGGGCCGTATGTGGGCCACCTGCTGTGGTACACTGGACCTTTCCACATCAGCCATCAGTGTCCTACAGACTTACCTATAGGCCATTTTAGGAAGCTATTGCCTCAATGGAGTTAAGATTCCTACTTCCTAGGTGATCTTAGTGTGTGTAAAGTTGACATAAAAACTAGCCAGCATAGATCCTGAGACTAATAATGTACAGGAACTTTAGTGGTAGGAACTGGGGCTAGAACTTGGTTCTTGAGGACAGTCTAACTATGGTGCTTTTCCAGTTAACTGGGAAGGAAATTGCTACATGAAAGAATGCTGTGACTCACCGGTTACACTAGCTGAAGGGTAAAGGATGTTTTCATCTGACAGGTTTTGTTTTGCAATTCTGGGAAGGAAGAATAGTTTGGTCCTCAGAGTGAAACTGTCAACTAATGTTGGGTTAGTGTGGAAGCCTAGGAGAGACATGGCACACTTGCCTAGCAGTCCCGGGCCAGTGGAGAGACTGATGTGTGAGAAAGGACAGAATATTACTTAGGACTCTTTAGAGGAAGACTAATTTGGTGTGTGTCTTAAATCCTGAGTATTTCCATGTCATGGTGGCCGGGCATAAAGGAGGATCTGGATGGGTTTTTTTTCTTGAAGTTGTCTGCCCACATAAAACCAGTCCATAGCAAACAACTAATCTTTGAGGGCCAGCCTTTTGTTTTTATATTTTGGGACAGGCTTGCTATGTAGCCCAGACTGACTTTGAACTCATGATGCACCTGCCTCAATTTACCAAGTGCTATAATTACAGTCAGGAGCAGCCCTAGCTTGAGAGCCAGCCTGTGTGGAAGGTGTAACACTTTCTGGGGAAGGACTGCATCCCAGTGTTGCAGTGATGTAAAGAAACCCCTTCTCTATTCATGGTGTAGGTTGATGTACAGTGTTTTTGTTGTGTAAGAACATGTCAGAATTAAAACACTTGAATGGAGAGATGGCTCAGAGGTTAAGAGCACTGACTACTCTTCCAGAGGTCCTGAGTTCAATTCCTAGCAACCACATGGTGGCTCACAACCATCTGTAATGAGATCTGGTGCCGTCTTCTGGCCTGCAGGCATATGTGCAGACAAGATCTTATACATAATAAATAATATTTAAAAAAAAAAACCACTTGAATCAAGGATTACCTTTCGTTATCCAGCCCTGACTTACTTAATCTTTCCTTCTCTCTCTCTTTCCCTCCCTTTCTGAGATAAGGTTGCGCCCTCAAGCCAGGCTGATCTGGAACTCACTACATTGTTGGAGCTGACATCAAACACCCTCCTGCCTTAGCCTTCAGGGTTGTGGGGTTACAAGCATGTGCCACCATTCCTGGCTTTCATGGCTATTGTTAAGAGGCTATTGTTCATTCTTTGGAACATAACTCATGTAATGAGGTCTCTGATTCCCTTTCAGACTTTCTGCTGACCCCTTTGTCACCCACTACCAGTCAGGGCAGTCCCTCCTTCTGCGTTGGGAGTCTGGAAGAAGACTCTCCCTTCCTTTCCTTTGCCCAGGTAAATCTTTTGCCTACATGAGCTCTGCTGCTTGTCTGGGAACCTCATCCAGGGATTGTTGCGCCTCAGCCTAGTACAGGTGGACAGAGAGCCACCTGCTGGGTGAGAACTTGTTGCCTAGTGTAAGCAGCAAGAAGTAGCTGAGGGCAGATGCATGGAGAGGGCAGCCAACCACCAGTTGGATTGCTTGTCAGATGCACTGTGGTGGGGGACTTTCTCAAGAACAGAGTTCTTACTAGTTATTGAGAATCCAAGTTTTAATTATTTAAGATTATTAAATTCTTAGAAAGTGGACAGTGTCCTAAGTGAGGGGCTGCATCAGTTAATTTCAACTGGTTCTAGGACCTTGGATGTAAGTAGTATTTATATAATGTGGACTAAATCCTCTACATCTTGAGAGGGAAAGGTCATCCTGGTTACCCTGTAACTAGCCACCACCACATCCCTTGGTGGTCAGGTAGGAAGACAACAAGTAAACACGTTGTCTGTGCTCAGGTAATTGAGATAGGTGGGTAGACAGCTTCACAGGAAGCCAGACCTTACAATCTTTAATAATAATGCTTTAGTCTAGATTATTAGTTCTTAGCCTGGGGGTTGCAGATCAGATATTTATAGTATAATTCACAACAGTAGCAAAATTACGGTTATGAAGTAGCAGCAAAAATAATGTTATGGTTGGAGGTCACCACACCATGAGGAACTGTGTTAAAGAGTTGAAGCATTAGGAAGGTTGGGACCCACTGGTCTAGATGCTTCTCAGTTCACAATGAGGCTACATCTGGTAAACTCCTAAGTTGAAAGTAAGTAAAAGATAGATTGGATGGTAAATGCCTCGTGCCATTGGCTGCTGCATTGGTGTAAAGAGGAGGATGGTTATGAGTACAGCTTTGAAAGGAAAAAGATGGAGACTGTCTGCTTGATAATGGTAGTCTGTGCTGAGGCATAGGCCAGAATTAAACGGTGTGGTAAGCCAGACTGAGGTTTGAATTTGTATTTTCCTATCATGACCTCTTTGGTACTGGGATTATAGGCATTTCCTTTATTTTATATGCTTCCTTTAGCTGGGATCTCATTCAAACTAGCTCAGCATAGCAAGAGTGACCTTGAACTTTGAATCCTTCTGCCTCAGAGGGGTTATTAGTGAGCCAGCTAAGTTGTTGAACCTGTTTTACTGACTCTACTTCTTTCTTCTTTCTTTTGAAAAGTTGATAGAATAGTATCACAAACATTTTACCTGGAGTCACAAATTGTGGTTTTTCTTCTTCTTCTTTTTTTTTTTTTTTCTTCTTTTTCCCCTTTTTCTCCCCCTGTGGTTGTGGGTTTTTTGTTTTGTTTGGCAAAGGTCTCACATAGGAGCGCAGGCTATTCTGTAACTCACAGCATAGCTCAGGTTACCGGTCAGTCTCTGAGTGATCCTAAGCCAGGACGCTTTCTCTTTTCTGTGTAGAGTGTTGCAGATACCACAGTGGCATTTCATTCCATACCCAGAAGAGGCATATTGAGGACAATAGTATTTTCTCTGAACAACCAATGTCACATCCAGTAAATGCAGTTGTTACCATGTCTAATACTCCAGGGTATTTCTCTCTCCCCACTTGTTCCAGTGTCCTTCCTCATTCTCAGTTCAGGATGCTCTCAGAGATTCCTCACATCTAGTTTTTAAGCATCTTTAGCCTCTTTTGGGCCATTATAGTCTTGTTCCCCTTGAATGAGTGGTTTTGAAACATCCAGACCAGTTGTGTAGTTTTGCCATCTAACTCAGGCTGGCTTTGAACTTTGGATTCTCAAGCCTCAGCCTTCTGAGTGCTGGCATTGCAGGTGTGCACCACCACTCCTGGCCTATAGTTTGGATTTGTCTGTTTACTCATGACTAGTTTAAGATTAAACACATAAATATTTCTTGGAGAATAAATATTGGTGATGCATTCAAATTGTCTTTTAAAAATAAGAGTCCAGCCCTGGGTTCGAACCCCATTTCGAACCATTTTTTAAAAAGATGGAATCAGATGCCATAATATTCAGACTTAAAAATCATAGAACTCTAGGAAGATCACCACAGTAAAAGATAAAAGATTACTTAAGTGCATGCCTGAAATCCCAGCACTTAGGAGGTAGACAGGAGGATCAAGGGTTCAAGACCAGCCTGGGGTATAGAAGACCCTCAACAACAAGAAACATTACCCAGGGAAACCAGCACCTGCTAGCAGAGCACAGCTTATCCTGAATATTCGTGTCACGCTTTGGGACACAAGCTTTAACTTAAGGCAGGCTCGCTTGAACCCTATGCCAGGTGTGGGTGGAGTGGGGTAGAGAGATCCTCTGTAGTTTTCTCTGTGCAGAAGCCCATGCCTATAATCCCAGTACAAGTTCCAGCTCAGCCCAGGCTATAAAAACAAGAACAAATACTGGTAGGAGCTGCAGGGTGTATTTGGGAGATGAGATACATACAGTAACCACAGTTAGAGCTGGCCTTACCATGTAAAATGAAGACAGTTCCTTAAGGGCAGAGGGACTGTTGTGACTTACTATACTTACAGGAAAAAACTGGTCTGTGGCTGCATCTAAACGGTGATAATTGAGATATTTGGAAAGTAACAAAGGGTTAAAAAAAAGCACTGTTGGGCTTTTACAGAGTAGGAGGCTGTTATCCATGTAGCTGCATTAAATTGGATGGTAGGCTGGGTGTGATAGCAAATGCCTTTAATCCCAGCAGAGTCAGGCAGATTTCTGTGAGTTTAAGGATAGCCTGGTTTACACGGTGAGTTCCAGAACAGGACAGCCAGGGCTCTGTAGGGAGACCTGCCGCCACCCACCTCCAAAAAATAAAAATAAATTGGAAGGTGTATTGTATATGCTACTTACCCTAAATTTTGTTTTGTTTTGTTTTAAAGATTTATCCATTTATTATATATACAGTGTTCTGCCTGCACGGAAGAGAGCACCAGATCTCACTATAGATGGTTGTGAGCCACCATGTGATTGCTAGGAATTTAACTCTGGAAGAGCAGCCCAGTGCTCTTAACCTCTGAGCCATCTCTCCAGCCCCCTAAATTTTGTTTTTTAATTTGTTTGTTTTTTTGAGTGAGGGTCTCTAGGCTCCATACTAGCCTTAAACCCTTAAACTCATATAGCCCTGACTGGTTTTGAATTGTAGGTAGTTTTCCTACCTCAGCCCACTCAAATACTGGAGTTACAGGTATAAACCACAATGCCAGCTCAGGTATATTTGAAGTGCCTTCAGAATGACAGGAAAGAACATCAGAAATAGTATTCCTGATTTAAAACTGAGGAAGCACCTTTTGTGCTATCCTTAGTATTCTTTGCCTATTTCCTCAGGAGTAAAAGTCCCTTGGGCCTGTCCCTTGGGGTACACCACTGTCTCTTTAGTCATGGCAGAGAAGACATTTAGAGAGGGGCTGAAAGTCTGGGGAGGTTGATGCTGGGAAAGGGTATTGGTCGGACGTTTATGTTCTCCCTTTTGTCCCCACTTGGCAGATGCTGAGGGTCGGGAAAGCAAAAGCAGACGTGTGGCCCAAAAACGCTCCAAAGAAAGGTGAGTGCTGGGCAGGAAAGGGCAAGTTAGGACAAACTCCTTTCAACAAGAAAGAGCTCTAGAATTTTAACTTTTGTTTTTTAGATGAGAATAATAGCTTGGTTCCTCCTGCCCCTGTGGACAGCGATGGGGAGAGTGATAACTCTGACCGTGTTCCTGTGCCCAGTTTCCAGAATTCCTTCAGTCAAGCTATTGAAGCAGCCTTCATGAAGTTGGACACACCAGCTACTTCAGACCCCCTATCTGGTAAGGGGGAAACTCACTCAGCACTGGGCTCAAGCTTAGCCACATATGCTGCCGTTCCTGCCAGTATTGAGGCTTCGAGTGTCTTGTGTGTTCTGTAAGAACAACAAGTGCTCCTAACCACTGGGCCATCCCTCCAGCCCCTAGGCTGTAGAAACTTGAATTGGTTGACGGTGATTGCAGACATTAACCTCGGTGCTCACCTGACACCTGTGCTCGCTAGGCAGGGATGGGGTGGCAGTCAGATTCCAAAGCCTGCATTCGCTCAGCTGTGAGTGAAGCAGGGTGGGGTGATGGTGTGAGCTAAGACTGATGTTTCTTTCAGAAGACAGAGGAGGAAAGAAACGGAAGAAGCAGAAACAGAAGCTCCTATTCAGCACCTCGGTTGTCCACACCAAGTGACACTACTCACCCAGGCACCTTCTCCATCTGGTTTCTTTTCTGTGCTTTTGTTTTGCTGCTGTAATTTTTAAGTATTTGAGTTTGAACAGATTGATTAGCTTGGGGCGGGAGGGGGGGGTTCCACAATGTGAGGGAAACCAAGAAAATTTTAAATACAGTGTATTTTCCAGCTTCCAGTCTTTACACCAAAATAAAGTATTGACACTCACAAGAGACACCTTCCTGCCAAACTTAGTTCATCTATAGGTTAGTCTTTTTGATTCAGATGTTAATTTTCTCAACCCAAAGTCTGTGTGGTCTTGTTTGGGCTTCCTGGCTTGCCAGCACAATTCTGTGGTTGGTTAAAATAGTTGAATCTCTCCTATGTTAAATTCTCCTTGTCAAAGATCCAGAGGACTAGGATTAAGCAGAATTAGGATATCTGGTTTAACACCTAGGCTTAGGAACTGCTGTGAGCTCAAGGCTGGGTGGCTACAGTAGAAAAAAAGCAAAAGAATTGGAAGTTTCTCTTGTAGGAAGTGGCTACTCTGGCCAGATTGCAGCTGGCAGCCAGCCCCAGGGTAACTTAGCCTTTGCACTTAGATATCTTGAGTTTTGCCTGGTGGTTCTTTAAGAAAAGCCTCATCCAGAAAGCTCTAGACCCTGTCACACCCCTTAATGGCTTTAAAAAAAAAAAATTGCTGTTGGGCATGTCTGTGTGTTGGATCCCCTGAAACTGGAGTTAGTTACCTCACATGAGTGTGTGCTGGGAATTGAACTCAGGTCCTCAAGAAGAATGATCAGTACTCTCAGCTTCTGTCCCCAAGCTTCTTTTAAGTGACAGTGGTTTAATGGAGGCATAAAGGGTGTCTTAGGGTTCCTATTGCTGTGAAGGCACACCATGACCACAGCAGCTTTTATAAAGAAAACATTTAATTGGAGCTGGTTTACAGTTTCAGAGGTTTTATCCATCATTATTATCTTCATGGTGAGAAGCATGGCAGTGCAATGCTTCAACAAACATGGTGCTGTGGATTTTATATTTTGATCCACAGGCAGTAGAAGCAACTATGAGCCATACTAGGTATAGGTTGAGGCATAGGAACCTCAAAGCCTGACGCTGCAGTGACACACTTCCTCCGTCAAGGCCACAACTCCTAGTAGTGACACTCCCTATGGCCAAGCATTCAAACACATGAGTTTACGGGGCCATACCTATTCAAACCACCATAAAGGGTGGTGAGTCCATAATCATCACGGAAAGCGTGGTAGTAGACAGGCAGACATGGTACTAGAGAAGTAGCTGGCATCTCACATTTCATCCATTAGCAGGAGGCAGAGAGCTAAGTGGGAATAGTGTAGGCTCTTCCAACAAGGTCACCCCCCAATCCTTCCCAAACAGTCCTGCCATCTGGGAACCAGCCTCATTCAAGCCAGCAAACCTCCCAAGTGCTGGGACTCTATCCTGCCTCACTGGGCCAGCTGAAAGCTACGTTTCTTATCAAGCTGCCTGATCAGTGGTCAGGTGGGTATCCTGGTATCTGCACTCCCAAAATACACCGAGCCGACCCTAGATTATGTAATTGTAGTTGGTAGTTAGTCACCAATATTTCTGCTTCACATGAGTCTTCCTCACCCCCAACTGGAACTCACTGTCGACAAGGCTGGCCTAAAACAGATCTGCTTGCCTCAGCCAGCCTAGTGTTGGAATTAAAGGCGTGTACCACCATGCCCAGGTTTGCATGAATTCTTACATTAAGGGACTAGGAATATTTAAAATTCATCTAGTACCATGCAGGAGGAGCACGTTCAAGGCCAATGTGATAGAGGACAGAGATCTGGCCAAGCATGACTGTTCTTTAAAAGGGCGGGTGTGTTCCCTGGCGCAGCCGCTAGTCCGACAAGGATGGCTGTGGGTCCCTGTAAGATCTCCAGGGTGGCAGCACCATGTGGCCGGGCGAGTCAGGTGAGCGGGTAGGGCGGATAAAAGGCTCATAGGACATAGTAAATAGACATAAGGCTAAGAATAAGGGTAAACATTTATTACTTAAAGAAGAAGGAGAGAAAGAAAGGCAGAAATGGAAAAGAGGACAGAGAAAGACACGTATGCACACGCCAGGAGAGAGAGTGAGAGTGAGCGTGGTTAGTCCTTAAAGGCACCGCAAAGGAATAACATATATAAATACTTTTTGTAGTTTAGGAATGTTGCTTTGGAAGCCAAGAATATTTATTCCTCCCACTCAGCTCAGTAGTTACATAGGAAACGTCTATACAGAGCCTCTGGGACCATTGATGACGGGTCACCTGCGCTTTGGCTCGTTTGGAGAACTGGGGTGCTGCTGCCAACTCCAACAGCTTCCTGGTCCCTCAAGTAGGTCTGGAAACAGGGTCATTCTATTGCTTCCACAGTGTCCTCACCAGCAATGTCTGAGAGTTCTTCGGCCGGCTCTTTCTCCAGTAGACAGCTTCTCGAGACAGACTTCTTAATGGCTTCCCGCTCCCCTAGAGGAGAGAAAGATGTCCTTGGGCATCATCTTATCTGCTGAGCCTCAGTCATTGCTTGCTTTGGCCGACTGTTGCTTACCTTCATCAGTGCAATTCTGCAACAACATCAACAGCTGTCTCCGGTTGTACTGAATCAGGAATTTCTGACAGGTTCTAATTGTACCTGGCACATGAAGAGCTTTTGTGAAACAGTCGCTGTCTTTTGGGGGCAGGGGCGATGGAAGGACATCTTGTTCTCAGTGGGACAGCAGGAGACTCGGCCGCTGTCCCTACTGAGCTCTGAACTGTTTCTTATGAAAACAGCCGCCATACACAAGCTACCGCCACTCTTACCTCCCACGTGCAGTGTGTTGAGAAAACAAGAGTACCGGTGCCCTTTGCTCTCCAAATGCGTGATGAAAGGGAGAGCTGACCACAAAAGCTGGTAGAACTCCTTTCGGCATCGAAGTAGCATTACTCCAGTGTAGGCATTGAGGTAGCGAACTACGGTAGGAAGGAACAAATCGAAAAACTCCCCATTCACAGAATTAAAAACAAAAACAGGAAAACCCTAGTACGTGCCAAGGACTGTTTTAAACAAAAGTCTATGGGAGTATGCATCGCTGAGTAATATTTTTTTAATTTTGGGATGTTTTGCCTGCATGTGTGTATATGCACCACGTATGAGCCGAGTGTCATCTTCTGGGACCAGAGTTAGTCACCATGTGGTGCTGGGAATGGAATCCTGGTCCACTGAAAACCTCAAATGTTCTTAACCGCTGAACCCTCTCCACTCTCACCAGTTCTACTAAAAAACATACTTGAAAGGTTTTTTTTTTCCCCCCTTCGATACAGCACCGTTATGTCATCCTGGCTGGACTAGAACCACTCTCTGCCTCCCGAGTGCTACGATAAAGTCATGGCCACGGTGCGCAGCTTGAAAGGGAATTTTAGGATAGCCCTTCCAATGTCAAGTAGCCACTCAGGTCAATGAATGGAGTGAGAGAGAAGCTCCACCGTGTTTAATCTGCAGAATTCAAGTTTAAGCGTACGGTAAAGGGTGCTGAAATGTGGCATTCGTAGAAAAACGGCTTTCGAGTTAATCCCGCTTTTCCATATGAGAATTCCTTTGCACTCGTCCGTCAGAGGCGCTTTAAACTTTTAAAAAGGGATAAATCTGACATTTTAAAACGTGCTAACGTGACCTGTCAAATCACAGCTCTTACAAGGATTCTACATCTTCACCTAGCCTAGTAACTCCAACTCCCTCGCCCCGGCCGTAGGGCCCCTGTACCTGCAAAGCCCACCGAGCAGGCGGCGGCGCCGAAAGTCCCATGCACCCGGGCGATCGTGTCGCGGACGAGGCCGCCGAGCACGCGGTCGTCCAGGCTCAGGCGGCAGCGCGCGTCCTCTGACACCAGCTCGCACAGAAGGTACCTGCGGCGGGCGGCAGCGGTGAGCGCAACCCGGGCACGCAGCCCTGCCGCTAGGGCGCAGGGAAGGCACTGCTTACCTGTGCTTGAACCGCACCATGGCGTCCGTGCCGGATCCGGGAGGAAGGCGGGACTTGGCCCGACAGGCCTAGTGCCCTGTCAATCTCCACGCCCCGCCTCCCTCGGAGAGGGTAAGAGCGCATGCGTCCGCCTCAGGCGGGAGCTGGGGATTTCTCACAGAAGGTCTGGATGAATTGATATTCCCCAACGTTGATCGGTGAACTTTGAGGCCAGTCCTGCACTTAAAGCCCAAGACTAGCCGGGCAGTGGTGGCACACGCCTTTAATCTCAGCACGCGGAAGGCGGATGCTGGCGGATCTCTGTGAGTTCGAGGCCAACCTGGTCTACAAAGTGAGTTCCATGACAGGCTCCAAAGCTACAGAGAAACCCTGTCTCGAAAAACAAACAAACAACAACAACAAAAACCCGAGACTGTCGCGGGAATTGGGGCAGAAGTCTCTAACTTCTTTAAAGAAGTCAGAGTAGAAGTTTTTCCATACAGCCAAATACGCTAATTCTTTTAGGGGCCCTGGACAGTTGTGTGGAGTTTTTTATCAATTGGTTTGTCAATCTCCTCCCTTCCTTTTTTAATTTCTTTGTCCCATATTGCCCAAGATAACCCCAGACTGACTGTGTAGCCAAGGATGGCCCCAAATTTCTGATCTCCACGTCTCTTCCTACCAAGCGCTGGGGAAATTCCAACGTGTGCCACCACACCCAGGCCCTTTGTTTTTTTAAGAATAGGAATTGTCACTCGGGAGGCAGAGGTGGGTGGATCTAGTTCCAGGACAGGCTCCAAAGCCACAGAGAAACCCTGTCTAGAAAAACCAAACACCAAAAAAAAAAAAAAAAAAAAAAAAAAAAAAAAAGAATAGGGACTGTGACCTCAAGACAGCCAAGGTTACACAGAGAAACAAAAGGAGGGGGATGGGTATTATTCATTTGAATATCTTTGTGTGTGTGTGTGTGTGTGTGTGTGTTTAAATCGGGGTCTTTAACTTCAGTTTGGCTTGGAGTTCAGAGCACTTGTGCCTCAGCCTCCCAAGGGCGGGGGTTACCCGGGTGCACCACCATGCTTGCTTGGTTCACTTCGCTGTCTTGTATGTAAAGTGCATATTCTTTTTGTTGTTATTTTTGTTTTTTGAGACAGAGTTGCTCTGTGTAAGGGGCCTAACTGACCTGGAACTCACTCTGTAGATCAGCTTAACCTCGAACTCACAGAGACTGTTTGCCTTTGTGAGCCCTGAGATTAAAGGCAA